TTTTTTTTTTTTTTTAATTCAAATAAAGCTGAAATAACATGAATGAGTACTGCGACGGTTAGTAAGAGTTCCTTCACTTCCATTTTCTTTTGGTTTCAGTTAAGCATAGTTAAATTTGATCAATTTTTTTCTTAATTTTGACATCCATTTTAAGAACTGTTGCTTACAAAGTTAAGTTGCACAGCTGAATCATAATCTATTACTTCACGCGTGATTCACAGTAAAGCTCTAAAACTTTTTTGACATATAAAAAATTAGCGGCCGGAATGAGTTTCAGTTACCCGTGTAAAACGGCAGTCAGACCAAAATCAATGAAAAAGAACAATTTAATTCTACGAAGTTTAATAAATAGAAAACAACCGTTACATAGCACAAAATTCTTAACATTAACTTTTCTCTTCCATTCGGCAATACAGTCATCCTAGTTCTTTTTAATGCAAGTCAGTCATCATATCAGATGGTGATTGTTTTAGCTGACGGAAGCAGCGCTTCCTGAAATTATATCGGAGTCAGTGATCGAGTTTCTGAATACTACGACAACAGAAAGTGAAACATCAAAACCGGCTGCCTGGCAGAGTTAGTAATTTTCAAAAATATAACTTTTAAAGCAAATTATTGCAAAGTTCCATCAATGGGCAAAAAAGTGGTTATTTCACTTCTTGCCCCACTTCAAGCTTTCAGTGAGGCATTTGTCATTCTTTATCAGCAATATTCTTCCATAATTTATTCGCTTTTCTACACAACTATTTCCTTCACAAATTCAGGCCAGATATGCTAAATTAAGCAGGTAAAAACAAAAACTTTTAATTGGTGTTTTGGAAAAAAAAATTTACATATTTTTTTTCACAGCAGTCATTATTTCTTCTCAACGCCCTACTTTAAAAACAGCAGTATTTTTAAAAAATTTTGACAGGGAAGAAGCGTACTAAAATTAATGTTTTAAAGACGTCCTCAGTCTTAATTATTATTCCAGCATTTGCGACGACGTTTAAGCTGTTTGTCTGAGCCCCCGCTGCGAATTGTCTTAAGCAGTTATCTGTATCATTATTTCAATTTAAAATGAAACAAAACTGAGAAGTAAAATCATTTTAAAAAACAGAAATTTAGCATGGGGAATTGGCTTGCTGATAGTCTCTATAACCGCTTTCGGACCCTCAATAGCCATTCTCGGAGTTCCTTTTCTAAGCGAGAAGCTGTACGAGAGATTTATGAATTTTCTGGTGGCGTTAGGCATTGGGACGCTTTCAGGCTCAACACTCTACTTTCTCATACCACAGGTAGAGTTTTTTCCCTTTTGCAAATTTTGTACATGAAGTTGAAAATTTTTACGGTCATTGCCATAATCAATCCTATTATTGCGATAATAATGTGTTCAAGTTTTAACAGGCATCACAATTAAGAAAATGAAAAAAACCAAGAAAATAAGTTTAAACAAAAAAAAAAAACTAAATCAATTTTTGTAGAAAACTGCAGTGTGACGATTGACTTCTTAATATTATAGGCCTTTAACATTGATGACGAATCTGGCGACATTTATTTGATCAAATCGTCAGTGGTTCTTGTTGCAATATATATTTTCTTTAATGTTGATAGGGCCTTGTCATACTTGCTGCATTATCGTAGGGTTAGTTTTGTTATACTGCGTCAAAATTCGTTAGGTGAACTTCTGCTTGTAATTTTTTTCAAAGAAGGAAGCTTCTTACAATATTACATTTTTACAAGTTTAAGTAATCTTAGAATAAAAGTTCTATTGCACTTGACTCTTTTTTTTCTCTTTTCTTTTTTAACTGCAAAAGTTTAGGTACTGAAAAGCGTTACAAAATTACTTACTTAACTGTTGATGCGTTTGTCCAGATGTTTTCTTGACTTTGCAAAAACTTTTTAACAATTAGTTTTTTTTAAATTGTTCTAAAGCAGAAATTTGTAGACCAGAAGTGAAAAAAGGCAAATTCACAAGTCTACTCTTGACACTGTACTCCGCAAAAAGCCTCAAGAAACCCAAGACAAGAACAATAATATGGATACTATTAAATCAGCAGGCAAGATCCACTTTGAGGATGTTCCAGAAATTATAGTTTCCGATACCGACGGAAAGTACAGAGATCCGGAAGATATGGATAAAGTTTTTGAAATTGAAAAAAATCAGCTAAAAGTGCGTTGTTCTTTTCATGAAATTCTTCTTCGCCGTTTTTTTTTATGATCTGCATTACTCCGCTTGGTTAACTATTCTTTTTTGAGGGAGCTTTTTTATAACCATTAAATTTTTACTCAGATTTCTCCGATCTGAAGATAACTTTTTAAAAAATAGTTTTGCAACATGTCTTTTTGCTTAAAAACCAATCATTTTCGCAAAAATGCGAGAGCTTTCATCATTAGCCTAACACTCGATCATTTATTCTTCTTAATTGCTTTTCCGTTTATCGGTGATAAGAATACTTTAATTTGTCGACGAAGTAGACGCCTGGAAGAGCTCTATAAAAAGACCGATGGGAAACAATCTTTGTTTTGTCCACCCCAATATAAATAATCCCCACCGCACTTCCTCTCGTTAGCTCCACTGAACAAAAAAATTTATTTTATAAATCACGCATATGCTATCAACAAAAAGGCTCTGAATTTACTGCAAGCGTTTCATATTTTTGGTGTACAAAATGCTATCAAAGATGATTAGTCTTTTATACGGGTTGAATCTTTAAAAGGCAATGATAGGAACCGCCTGTCAAGAAAAGATATTGTTTATAGATTCTGTAAACTAAACTGCGTCGTTTTTTTTTGTATCTTTAATCAGTGATATTCTTAAAGAACGTAAAGAAGTTGTAATTTAAATTTTTTTCAGAACGAAATGGAAGTAGCTGTTGTGAGTAACGCTCTTACTCGGAAGGTATATTGACATTTCACACTTTTCAGAACTAATGCTAGAACCTTTTTTTTCTTATTCCATACAAGATTATCCTCTTCTTTTTTTCAAAGACTGATTGTCAAGTATTAAGATGGTTTAGTAATGATGGTGCGTTGTTGCGGCGCAGGTCAACTGGTTACAACTTGAGATTAAAATAACTAGTCACAGTAGTCACAATGGAATTGTTTTGGCTACTTTGAAAAATAGCATTTTTGCAGTTCTATCATTTAACTAGCACAGGAATCTGAAAAACGGGAATCGAAAATTGTTACTGACAAGTTCTGTTTGACTTAAATTAGGCATATTTTCATTCTGACTAAATCACTCAAAGATTTTTGAAGGACTATAAGCAGAAAGAGGAACGTCCATGGGGTAAGCTGAATGGGGATAAGTTTTATGACTGAGTGCCTTCAATTTTTCTGTTCTGGCCAACCAGGTTCTAATAGTAGTTCGCCGTTTCCGTCATCCTTAGATACCTTTTGCCGAAATCTTCATTCACACATTTTCTGCCGTCCAATTCAAGCACTTTCCTCTTGTCATATTTTAACTGAAATCGGGCAGATATGTATCAATTACTTCCATAAGCGCTGACCTTGCCATCTGCTGACGGGAATGCTGCTTAAGGAGTGTTTATTTCTTTTCCAACTATCCTGCAGTACCTGTTTTCCGCCGCAAATAATAATTTAATTCAAAAACATATCGTTTTTGAAGCACCATTGATTTTCTCTGCAGAGTTAATGTGTAACAATCAAAAGCAACTAACTGGAATTAGCTAACCCGCAAAATGCATTTTCTTTTGTGTTATATGTAAATGCAGATCCACAGTTTTGTATAAACCTAAAGTTTCAAAATGCGTATCTCGCATTTTCGTTTTTGGTTGAGTTTAACCAACTATTTTCGCATTATGGCTGGTGAGATCGAATGGTTTACCGAGAGGGTGTTTGAGTTATAGTGGCTCTTCATTTCTAAACCCCGGTTGCACACTCCGCCTACCATGAAAATGTTTAAAATAGTCTATCCACTTCCTAACCAGCTGCAAAAAAACT